CATCCATCCATCCATCCATCCATCCATCCATCCATCCATCCATCCATCTCTACCCTGAAAACATTCAAGTGAGATTCCTTGGGAGGAAAAAAATGTTTCCATTATAGTTTAGATCTTGGACCTCCCCCAAAGGCCTGCTTCTTAATGGCTTATTTTCCAGGCTGGTGCTATGAGAGCAAGAGGTAGACGTTCATGGGACATCTTTAGGTTATTGGAGATAAACGTAGAAGAGGATTTTGGTTATTTCATAGTACCTTTTACACTTTTTTTTTCACTTCCCAGATATAAAATGAATGCCTTTGCTCACCTGCCCAAGTTCCTATCACAGAGTGCTGCCTTGCTACTGACCCAAATGAATGGGCAACCTGGTCATTAACACCTGCAAACTACAAAACAATTTTCTCTTTATAAATTAATGATCTCAGAATTCTCATTGGGATGATGGAAATCTCCTGCCACTCTTCCAATTAAAAATTTCTCAATAGATTTGCAGCTATTCCATACTTTGACCTGATTGCCCTAATACAGAGATTATGAGCTCAAGCCATGGAGTGTCACCATATTCTTAACATGTTTAACAAATATGTCTTTCTACACTTCCCTGTTTAGGAAGAACAAGAATCCAACTATTGTAGGGATTAAACATGCTCATACATGCCATATGGTTAGAATGATGCTCAATAAACCAATTATAATTATTGCACTTCAACAGTTCTGTCACATACATTGTGACAGCTGAACCCATAAAAGCTCTACAACACAAGAATAATAATAGCCATGTCTTGGTGATTATAATGAAGCTCAGTCACATGTTTTCAAAAATCATCTGGTTCAAAACCAAGATTTGAATCCCAGTCTTTAAGTATTAAAGATTGGATTACTTCTAATAACTACCCTGGATTCCTGGATTATTCATATTGGTTATTTATATTAGTCCATAGTAAACATAGCCATTGTGAAATATTGACATTAGGGGAATTCAGAAAAGAATGAACACTTGAGAACATTATGTCAAATCTAAGGAGGAAGTAAATGATTAGTTGATACAAGAATTAGCTGAAGCAGTGGCCCCTGACCTGGTGACTTAGTATATAGCAGTTTTGAATATCCCAAATTCTAAATGAGAAAAAGCAGAAGAGGAGGAGGAAAGAAAGGCGAAGGGAGGGGGAACACTCATAAATAATTCAAAATTCTTTTGAATTAATTGAATTAACATACAAAGTAAGAAATTTCATTATAGTATCCTTATCTATTCTAATTCATCACTTTGTTCTCATTCATTTCCCTCACCCACTGTCCACCTGTGTTCCCTGTGCCACCCATTGCCACTCCCCTTCCTCTGCCCACGAAGTCCCCCCATTCTGCTTCATGTACATGGTTTGTTTTGCTTTAAAATCCTACTTTTTTTCTGAAAGTAGGTAAATGCCTATCTTGAAAAAAAAATCAGCTCAGGAAAATGCAGAACTATGGGTGGATGCGCAGCCCGTGATGGTCTATAGATGTTGTTCATCTCTTTGTTGCCAACATAATTCACAAGCCCATGGTGGGCTTGCTGGCCACTGATGTATAGATGACATTCAGGCCCCTTAGGTCTATTAGATAGAGACTATTGCCCCCACAAATCCTTATCTACATGCAAGTTTTATGAGACAAGCAGAAGATGGTCAATACTCACAGACAACTGGCACACTCCCTCGTTCCTAATGAATTTTAATAAGTTAGGACATTGAAATGGATCCCTGGGGGAGTGATCCTTCATGACTGACACTTTTTATAGTATTAGCATCTATTCTCATTCATGAAGTTTGGTTGTGTTAGCCTCCAGGAACTTTCCTGAAAGTTCTGCCTAATACAACGAGTCTCTTCATTCTGAATCTAGTTCAGATTTCAAGACAAGCTGAGCATGCAAATCCTTCAAGGTGCCTTCATATTATAAAAAGTTGTTCTAAAGAACCACATTAACAATTATATTTCAGGGAGAGTTTATGGGGAAGTGCAATGGTTTCAGGGCTAGAGGCCCCTGGTAGGTTGACCCATGCTCCAGTGGGTAATCCCATGGCCTTAAATATATACACAGCACAAATTGGATTCAGTGGCTTGTTATAAAAAAATACAGGACACAAAGTTGGAAGGGGGTGAGGAGGTGGGGGTGGACTTGGGAGGAGTTAGGGGAAGAAGGAGGGGGTGAATGTGATCAAAATACATTGCATAAAATGTAAAGCCTAATAAAATATATTGCAAAAACATATGATTCAAGCAAAGGTAATAACTCGGAAGATGATCATCGTAAACAAAAGGGCACTGTTAACTGCAAATGAGTAGCAAACATGCCACGCACATGGTCAGTGTGGATCTTTCCTGCCATTCCCCCTTCCGCATCCTGACACACCTTCTTCAAGTAGCCCAAGTGGAAACAGGCCATTCCTTAGCTACATTTAAAAAAATCTCTACAATCGATTGAACCTGCCTAATGAACACATCTGAGACATAGAATCATAAATTGTGATTTAGTGAAACAAACACCTTCTGTTTCACCCTGTCAGCCTCAGTTCCTCTCAGGATAAGGCTTTAACAAATATTAAAGGACACGAGAGAAAATTGAAAACAGAGGACAGAGCAACATTATTATGCTAGGCAAAAAAAACACTGCTGAAATGCTAAAAATAATGATTTACTCTTCAAAGACTTTTTTTCTTTGTTATGATGATTAATCCTGTCTGGTACCAACATTCACCCAGCCTTAGAGCAACAAGTGTTTGTTAACTAGGTGACCTGGTCCCTTCAACGACCAACAAAGCACGTGCTTGAGGTCCCCACTGTACGCCAGGGATAGCCCCCACCCCCAATTTCCTGATTCCTGCCCGTAAAATAAGAGTCCCTCAAGCTCCGCCCTTACCTGCTTCCCATCCAGGGTGTACAGGCGCTTCACCACACCCGAATCCAGCTTGATGGCATCGGTAATGTCAGTGAGCACCTGCTCGAAGGAATGGGCCGTCTTCTTGTTCAGCAGGATCCTGACAGCCTTCCGAGGCTTCACCCCACTCCTGATGATGGTGACCAGCTTGGGTCGAATGAAATCCTTATTCTCCCGAACCTCCGAAGGACCCCCCTTGGCAGTGGCCAGCGAGGACACTGCCCGGGAAGCTGAGGTGGTCTTGACGTTCACCGACCAGTTGGGGTTCACATTCTTGGTGTACTCCAGTTTCTTAAAGGGCTCAATGGAGCCGCAGACATAGCTTTCACCTGAGGAAGAGAGAAGGAATTTCAAATGTACACCTAAGGGAAACCATTTTCTTCCCCCACACTCTGTCTTTCTTCTCTCCTTTTCTATGTAGAGGCGAGAATTGCCTTTGACATTCAAATCAATGGAAGAATGTTTGAAAATGAATTAAAAAAAAAAAACACATCATTTCTCATTTCCAATATCTTTCTTTTGATGCAGATTAGCATCTTCGGGAGAAAACAAAACAAAACAAAAACGCACAAAAATATTTCTCTCTCATTGGCTGCTGGTAAAAATACTGATATAAACAATTCGGCTTCCAAAATTGAGACTTTCTTCTGATGTTTAAGGCATTTAAATTTTCAGCAAACTTTAAAATTAGAAGCACATACATTTGGCATCTGAGAAAACATGAAAACTAAAAACGAATCAGTACACAGCTCCTTAAATATGTAATATATAAGTTTAATAAGAGTATAATATAAAGATCCTGTTTAGAATAATGTAGACAGACAAGCATCAGATTAAAGAAATATAAAAGCTGAACAACATAATCACCCTTCTTTTCTGTCATCTGCGTCAGTTCAAACTTGATGATAAGCAAAAATGAAGAGAATAACTAGCTGTGGCTTCACAAACGCACTCTATCACAAAATGCTTATTAATAAATGGCTCAGGGATTTGCTAATGACACACTTCCTCTGAAAATATGTAGTTATACACAGAAGAACTCAACACAGGTGCCAAGAAGCAGCAAATCATGAAATAACTGATTCTAAAAACTTATTTCACTGAATGAGGTCAAAACATCATAAAATTAAAGACTGTATCACAGTCTTCCCAGCCCGACATAGGGGCTTAGTTAGTAAGCCTTGGTGACCAGAAGCTAATGAGGACAGGTAGAGTGGCCCAGACCCATGGCTAGCACAATCCATTTTCTGTTATCTAAGTCCTATTTTTAAATGAATATTTTAAATGTGGCAAGCATGCCATGCCATAGAATTAAGCAGCCACATAAAAATAAATCAACCAAAGTTTCAAAAATAACAAGACAGTTGAATATGTGTCTTAGTTTGCTTTATATTGCTGAGATAAAACACTGACCAAAAGCAGCTTGGGGAGGGAGGAATTTATTTCAGTGTCTCCCTTGTAGTATATCATGGAGGGAAGTCAAGGCAGGAACTCAAGGCAGGAACCAGGAGGCAGGAACTGGAGCAGAGGCCATGCAGGAGTACTGTTCATTGTCTTGTTCTCCATGGTTTGTTCAGTATGCTTACTTGTACATTCCAGGACCACCTGCCCAGTGGTGGCACTGCCCAGAGTGGGCTAGGTTCTTCTATATCAATCATTAATCAAGAAAACACCCCCACAGATTTGATAAAGGTCATTTGATGTGTCATTTTCTTAATTAAAATTCCCTTTTCTTGGATGACCCTAACTTGTGTCAAGATTACCAAAAACTAGCCGGCACAAAATATGTGCCAACATTTATTTTTGCTAAGGGTTTTAAACACCTTTTTCAAACATATACTTATGCCCCATAAGAACATGTAAAACTAGAAAACATGTATCCAACCCTTTTGTTGGCAGAACCTGCCTTATCCCAGATATATTTTCTTTAGGATCCATGTAGATATCATATATACATACATATACACATAAATATGTACATACACATACAAATGCCTATGTATTCATGATGCTGTGACAGGGTGTTTTCCAAAGTTTGTTGAAGGTCAGTAGGAAGAGCTATGTTCAAATTCAGGCTAGAGACTGTGCTATGTAAGCATGTGACCTTGGACCAGTCCTTTAGATTTCAGGGTAATGGTGTGCTGAATGAAATGTCACTGAGTTTCTACAGAGAGTGATGTAAAAAGCCTATAAATGCAGCTTACTGAGAGAGCATGTTCCTAGTATGCACATAGCACAGAGGCCTGGGTTCGATCCCTAGTACCCACCCCAACAGACAGTGAAGATGAAAGTATTTCAAATGCACAGCTGCTCTAAAAGTGACCAAAGGCAGCTTTACTCTTAGACATGCAGTAGGCTTGAAAGAACAATTTAAAACAGGAAGTCGGAATACAACAGACATGCCATCTGACCTGTAATCCTCATCACAGACTATGAGGCCAGTAGTAGTATGCTTCTCCTTGTAGGGCACACTAAGGCATAATGACCTAGTTAGCTGCCTCAAGGTCATGTGACTGGTAAGGATGAAACCAAGGGTCAAACAGTGATTGGTCTGACTCCAGGAACTGTGCTCTTACCCATGATTCCATGTATGTACATGTGAATATGAGGAGAACACTTGTCTGACCATGAGACAGAGGCTGTCTTTGTTAGATTTTTGTTTATTTGTTAATTTCACAGAAGCTTGAGTTATTTGGGAAAAAGGACCTCGGTTGAGAAAATGCCTCCATCAGATTGGCATGTATGTCTATAAGGGGATTTTCTAATTGAAGATTGATGTGTGAAGGCTCAGCCCACTGTGGGTGGTGTCACCTCTGGGCAGGTGGTCCTGGGTAGTATTAGAAAGGAAACTGAACAAGTCACAGGAACAAGCGAGTAAGCAGGATTTCTCCATGGCCTCTGCTTCCAGTCCTGCCTCCCAGTTCCTTCCTTGCGTTCCTGCCCTGTCTTCCCTTTATGATACACTACAAAATGTAAGTTAAAATAAATCCTTTCCTCCCCAGTTTGCTTTTGGTCATGATGCTTATCACTTTAGCAGAAAAGCAAACAGGGACAGAAAAAAAAAGTTAAGTTATAGAAAGATGAGATAGTTTTGCGTTTTTATTCTCTATTGTTCAAAATTTTCTACAATGTCTACTGTCTACTGTCTCTTCCAGTCCTAAACACAGGTGAGATTATTACTCCACGGCATGGAAGACTTGGAAGCTTGCATATAGCAATAGAAAGGAGAGAATAAATTGAAGAAATATCTCAATCAGAACTAATAAGGCCTGGGTCATCTTGGATGACACAACAAAGGTGGGGAGAAGACATAAGGTGATATTAAATCAGGTAGAAACAGAAATTCATTAATAGGATACCACAGCAATAATTATGGCAGATCTACTGATAAATGCACAGATACACAAGTAACAGCTCAAAGAGAGACAATATATCTACAAGGACTCAAAAGTTCACTGCCAAGAAGAACACGGTAACTTCAGAATAAAGAGTCGCCTTAAGTTGATGGCTCTGGGTAAGACACATGTCTGGATGTTTCTCTGAAATAACACCCTCAGGAGGATGTAGAGCTTCATATGCAGAACCCTTACACCAAACATTCAATACCAAGCCAACCATCCGGCCAACCCAGATGGGCATTCTGCAAGCTAATGGAACAGTATTCAGAACTCCCACTTGGCAGAGGTAACCAAGACACAGCAGCTAGATGCAGCGCCTGGCTGTATAACAACAATAAAATTTCCAACCTCAGTAGGGAAACCGGACTCAGCTGCTGTGTCATGTTGCTCTGTCCACTGTGTTAGATTGTAGACCTTCCATTACGGAAGATAGTCAAGGAAAAACAAGGTACCCATCTTGTGATACTTCTGTGAGACCAAGTTACTTCCTACGTGAAATATTTGTAATTTACACAAATGATTTGATTTAAAACATAAAATCCAATCCTCAGTTCATCTAGTGTATCAATATTCTCTCAATTAAAATGCTTTAATTAAAAATACAAGAAAATAAGAAATGACTTCATGACCTCAGAGCCACAGAATACAGCACCCAGCAGACATGAAAATAAAGTCATGAATTGAAAGATTCATGGCATATTTGTTTACATAAATGTTTGGATAAGTTTATAGGCAAATTGTACTACAGAACACACAATCAACAAAGTCACCGAGTTAAGATGAATATAGAAAAAAATGCACTCATTAAAACACAGGGCTGACACTTTAAAACAATAGATCCTGTGTTAGCAAAGATGACACCAATGTGGGGGGAAAATGATAAAAGTTACAAAACAAAAAACATAGGAAAAAATGCCCCTTAAATGCATGAAATGGTAGAAATTAAAACCATAACAGGATAGAAGTGTTTTTTGAAAGTTTGGCAAACGACAAGATATTGATAACAATGTCTCCTTGACCAGATTGTAAACCAAAACCACCTTGGTATATAGGAATTCCCCAATAGTCTTCTACCTCCATTCAACCATTTTCTATGCCTTTATGCTATAAATAACCCCCAGCATGAATAGGCAACATATATCCAAGTTTACTCACTAAAAAAGAAAAAAAAATATTTGTAACAACAATGGGTTGTATACATCTTAAAACCTCACCAAGAGAAGGCTAGTTAAGTGAATTAGAGTATATCCATATGAAGAATACTGTGGAGTAAATAAAAAGGACATGCTTGTTCTAAATGTTGCCGATAGGAAAGGGTCTTTAAGGTGATAATGTCATATGAAAAGCAAGGTGCAGAACTGGATGCAGATAGAGTTCCCACTCTGGGTTGGTTACATGTAGACTGTAGTATGTTTGGCAACACTAAGGAAGCACTGAAAAAAGGAAAATACGTAACTACTACACTCATTGCCTCTGGGGACTTTTGTGAAAAGGCTGTTTTGGAACTTTACAGAAATTAACTTTTAAGTTCTGGCATGTCAGAGGGAGGCCCAGTGAAAACAAATGAGCTGCAGAAAGTGAAGAAGCTACACCAAGACAGGAAGAAAAGCATCCTGAGAGCCAGGCAAGCAGAAGTCAGGATGGGAGAGAAATCACTTAACTGTGCCATTGATTGGACAGAACACTTCCTATAGCTCCAGAGTTAGGCAGCTTCCAGAAAGACCAGTGAGAGGCCAAGACTCAAGTGGGATCTGAGGAAGAGGCAGCTTCCACTGTTTTTAACAGAAGTGACTTGATAAGCACTGACTATCTGATAGCCAGGGACTCGATGTGTCATTGGTATCCTCAGAAGGAAAGGCTCAGGCCTCTCACACCCTCCGCACAGGTGCGAATGCAGGGAGAAAGCAGCCAGTCATTGCCCAGGATCCTGTTACATCTCTCTCCTGAGGGTTTGAGGGATTTGGGTGTGGTACTAGAATTTATCCACAACAGCTGTATCCCTAAAGCAGAATTGACATGGCTCAGATCTGGGGAAGGGGGGCACACCCCAGGTGAGCCACTGCCAAGCAGAGCTGCAGTCGATGGCCTCAGTGAGCATCACGATTTGTGAAAACATGCCAAGACCATTTTGAAAGCAAATCCTTGGGAATGTCACCTTCAATACACTCTTAAGTACACGTGTGTACACACATGTGTCCGCATGCCCATATACACAGAGATACAGACTCGTGTTCACTTGTTTGTACAACCACACACTCATTTGTTATATAATTTGAGCTTGGAACTGCTCCATCAGTGTGCCTCGAGCACACTTATTCATAATGATCAGGGTCTAATAATAAAACAGAAAGTGTCCACAACACTTTCTGTAAATAAAGCCTACATTTGCCATAGTCGCTTGGAATTTTTAGCCTGAGATCAAGTGAGAAAGAACAAACTTTAAAAAAATAATTGCAAGCTAAACACTCATCATTGCACTGACTAAAGGGACTTGAATTAAAACTCAAACATTCTCATCCTGGGTGAAGCAACATTTTGCATTTTAATGGGCTAAGCAAAACTGTAATAGGGAAAAAAAGCAAGTATCAATGAATTTCCAGCTACTTAAACACTAAGTGCAGCTGTGTGCGAATTGTCAGTATTTTGAATTGGGAAAAAAATATTTTAAGTGGAAATTCAAAAAAAATATGTAGACTCATACACAGAAAAAAAAAAGGGTGTCTTTTTAAAAAGTTAGAACCATCTCAAACCTCAGAATATTCCATCAGCAAGTACTTTATTTTGGTCGGGGGAAAGTATTGAGAGAAAATCAAAAGATGACGTTGGGAGCTATAAAGTCAACTCAGTGGTTAAAAACAGGTGATGCTCTTCCAGAGGACCCATGTTCAGTTCCCAGCACCCACATGCTGTCTCACAGCCATCTCTAACTCTAGTTCCAAGGTATCCAACACCCTCTTTCTGGCCTCAGGTACTGCACACACATGGTACATATACATACAAGCAGGCAAAACACTTTTACATCTAAAATAAGTATTGTTAAAAGATGGCTGTGTTTCTGAGAGCAGTGGTTACAATTTTAGAATTAAGTGAATAATTAAAACATTTGTAAGAACAAAAACGGAAACACTCATGGTTTTTTAAAAGAAACATAAGAAATATATAAGAATATAAGAAATATAATTTTTTTAAAGAAATACAAGAAATAGTAGAACAAAAAAAGATTTCATTGAGATCCACTACCAGGAACGGGAACAGGTGGTTTCTAGATAAATTTGTACCAGAGTATGTTCCTTCCCAGTCTAGTGAGACAAGTACAGAGGTGCCTTTTGTAGAAACTAAATTCACAGCATAATGTATCTTAGCACCCGCTTTACTGGGTTCAAATCCTACCTCTACCATTTCCTGCTACCCATCCCTCTCAGGGTCATCTTGCAAACCACAAGGATTCATACGCTCAAGAGGGCTCTGGAACACATACTCAGCAAGTTCAGCCAACGCACTGTCTTTGACCAAGAAAACAATAGATTGGAGCAGGCAACATGTTATGGTAAAACAAGCAGGAGAATGAGGCGGGATGGCAGCGGCGACAACCAGCCATGTCATTGCGAGGCAGGCAATACTGTCAGCCCCTTGATTCTTTGGTCAATGGGAATGGTAGGTCCAGAGCAGTTTTGAGTGGAGAAAGCAGAAGTAACTGCCTTCAAGAAGCCACAGGCATGACTCTAGGATGGAATGAGACATCAATCCCCAGCTATCTGAGGACAGGCTGAGATCTGACCACATTTTTCTACAACACCGTTACCCCACACAGGATGTCTGGTCAGATACCTGACTCATCTGGTCTTGCTACAAGAGCGCTTGGAAACCACTACCAAATGCTTACTTTCCCTTGTGTTTACCAAGGTCATACAAAGGACATGGCACAAAAATCAAAGTTGACACAGGGAGACTTCATGTCACTCTTCCCCTTTAATTTTCTGGAAGTACCCGACGTCTGAATAGAAGGAAAAAAGCCAAAGCTACAGGCATCTTGGCAGGGAGACAAGCCACCAAAGAGATGTGAATTCCCGAAAAGCAAACACACACAGCGCAGCCTGCTCCACACCGGCTGGAGTCCAGTCCCACTGTGCCTGGACTGGCACTCCTGCCAAGGGGCCAGGGGACACAGCAGGGGGGAAATCACACCCAAGCCCCAGCCAGCTACAGAGGAAGACAAGGGGGTTCTGCCTGTGTGCAGCCATGCAGCTGCAAGCCTGGACTCCAACTGGGCAGGATGGGTTGCTCCCTGCTACCTATACAAGCCCAAGACACAGCTGGACAATGGAGCCTGGCCAAATCCTACAGGAGGAGAGATGAATTCAGAGAGGCGTTGGGCCATATTGGATCTGATGACTATGCCACCTACTTCGCCCTTGCCTTGGAAACACAAGCTCAGAAAGACTTCTCCAAAGGAAGCTTGGAGATGAACTCAGTACCAGATAGCGTGCTCAAAGCCATTCAAGTCAGTCATGATTTCTACGGCAGTGAAAGACTTCATGCTGCGTTCAGATGATGGTGAGCCAAAGCAAACATGAACCATTGGAGGGCAATGTATCATTTACAGGATACCAAACCTAGACCCTGGAACGAAACTGTCCTATTTTCACATTAAATGTCCACCACAGATTATGTGTTAGTATGAACTGGACTTTAAAATAATGCCACAGGAAAACAATAGCCCTTCCCAAGAGGCATCCATGAGAAACATCAGATGACCCCATTGGTCCAGTGATCACCACTAACTTACCTAACAACAGACATACTGTTTGAGCTTTCTGGTCTCAGGTCCCCAGGGATAAAATAAATGGGTTTTACACCTTTCCACCATGCCTGAGGAAATTTCCTCAGTTCAAGACCTTTTGGATATTGTGATCCAAAAGCTCAGTTGGTGCCTACAAACACCCCTGAGCTACGAAACCGAAGACACAACGTGAGCTTTTAAGATAAACAAGACATGGGTTTGAGAAAGCATGCAGAATGCGCTGGGATTTGACTTTTTTTTTTTCCTTCTGCCTGTCATTGTTAGGGGCTAATAATGTGAATACCATTCTTTTCATTTTTACAGAACAGGAAATTGAAGCATGTTAAGCAGTAGAGGACCCTAGCCATGGGCTAAAAGACAAGTGACCCTCAAGTGGCCTCAGCTGCCTGCAGGGTCCCCAGAAGCTCCCAAAGGCTCACCTTCCACCAGCTGATCCAGGCTGGAGATCTTCTTAAGTCCATCGATGGTGTAGATGGTTCTCACCCCCTGGGGCAAATTCACGTTATCCGAGAGAGTTCGGGTCAAATCAGCCAGCAGGGCTTCGAAGGATCTGAAGCGGTCTGGAGAGATGGCGTAAACAATCCCTTTGAAGTAGCGGTCCCCATTTCTGTAGAATCGAACCTTCTTGGCTTTCTTCTCGGAGCTCAGCGTCTGCAGCGTGCGGGTACGGTAGAAGCTGCAGTGGGCGCTGTGTGTGGGGCTTGGCAGGCCGTTCACACGGGACCCCCTGCTGTACCTCTGCGCCTTGTCCCGCTCATCAAAATGCTCCAACTCCATATCTCTGCCGAATGACATGACTGGCTTGCGTTGTGGAACCTACGAGCCCCAGAAAGAGACACAGACCCGGTTACCTGAAGGTCGTGGGCTGAGACGCTCTGAGAGCAGCCGTGACTGGTGATGTATTTGGGTTGTGGAGTGGGAGAGAAAGAGGAGGAGGAAAAGCAAGGAATGGAAAAGCAGATCTCAGTGTTAATGGCCTATTACTCAACCGTAGTTTAGATAGACACAGCTCCCACTGTCGCCTGCCTACCATCCCTCAGGCTGCGTTGACATCCTCTCAAGGTGCTCCTATTTATAGGGAGAGAAACTGAAACCTGGAAGAGTTCCTCTTCAAGTTCCCCAAGAAACACGGTTGAGAATTTCAACCGGAAACACCCTTCCCTGCTCCCACTGTAAGCCTGACTGTAAGGCTCACTAGGAGCTGTGCCTGGGTTAGTGTGCCAATCCCACAAGCAGGTTTAAAATGAGCTTTCATATACTAAGCAGAGGGTAGAGGGGAGGGAGGTGGTGGTGCGGGGTAGTGGTCAGACTGTAGGAGCTTCCATCAACGTTTGCTTCTACCGCCAGATGGAGAGGAAATGAAATCAACGCATTTTTAAGAAAGACTCTGAACATAAACATGTAGCCCATATGCTAAAACGTGACTTCACCTCAACCCTTTGCTAGTGCTTAGTAATAAAATAGGATAAAAGGAAAAGACAGAAAAAGAGGGTGGGGAGAGGAGAGATAAGATGAATGGAGGAAGGGAAAGGAGGTAGAAGAGGAAAAAAAAATGGTTAGCACCATTGTTCTTCTGTCCTCCTCTGCCACTCTGTCTCTGTGGTTAAGGAAGTCAAGACATCATTCAGACTGTCAAACACAGGACCAAGTATATAACCTGAGAAACCTACTTGATTGGCACCTGTCAGACTCAGTTACACATGGGAATAAGGGTAGTATCTATTTCATCGCCCATATAAAGTTTGCATGTGGTGAGTAATGATTTATTTAAATAAAACATGCCTTTTATTCCTGACCCTGGCCCAAAGATAATTAGTGGAAACAGAGCCCTGTATTACCCCCTCTGGCAAGAGAAGCACCTGATTGCCATATCATGAGCCTCTGGGAAAAGAAAAGGCCCATACTGCCACAGTCCCCATTCTGCTTCCTATGGGGCCCTGCTATCAGCAAGCTGCTTATTGAATGGATTCATTCTTGCTGGAAGTTAACTGGTAAAGAACTGCCATACTTGAAGGGAGACCACTGTTTCTGCCCAACAAGCTGGAAAGTGGAAAAGCCTCAGTCGAAAAGATGCATGTTTAATAATAAAGTTCCAGGCACAGTTAACTAGATTGTAAGTGAGAGAGAAATTGGAAGGAAGAGCCAAGCTTCCCGGTACTTCTCAAGTCACTGGTGGGAAGTTCAGCCCAAACGCAGTAACACTCCTGCTTATCACTGTGACTTTTCCTTCATCTTCAGCAAACTGACCCCTGAGCCACTCAGAGTGGGTAAAAGTTTACACAGCAGCTGAATAAGTCAATTTAACTGAAAATGTGTGTAAACTGTGCATGATGGGCCATCTTCAGCTACAAATAGTAAGTTCAAGGTTAACATGTGATCCTGTCTCAGAAAGCTCCAGCTTAACTAGTTAGTGAATTAACTAGCTAGGGAATTTGCATCCCAGACTTGAATCGAGTAAAAGAAAACAATATTGGTGTCCAGAATACCGTGACCCCAGGATTCAGTGACACCAAAACCTTTTCTAAACCACACACAACTCCAACAAGCCAGTTAGTCTCATCAAAGCTAGTCCGGGAAACTGGATTTATCCAGAGTCTCCAAGTTACACTTGATGGAGTTGGAATTTCAAGTTTGATTTGTCATGACTCCAAAGCTTGTGCTCTTGGTCCCCAGCCCCATAACACTAGGCCCTGTTCCTAGGGGAATCATGAGTTTTGAAGTCGTCACACACCTGTCTAGACGCCAGGAACACAAGGGGAGCCGTAGGATTAAATCCCTGTCTCAGCTCAGAGTATCTTCCCTCAGACAGAAAAACTGCCCCTTCATGCTTCATAAATAATCAATTGTAATCTAATTTTGTGTCTTTATAAAAGCTGTACAAGCTGTGAAGTGGTTCTGTTAGTTCTTAAGGAAATAACTTTGAAACAGTCACCACTGGGACCAGCCCTGTTGGGATTAGCTGCGTAACAGAACCAAAATTCTGCTCTGATATTGGTACCTGCTCCTACTTTGTTCATATGTGTTAAGTAATCTGTCTTCAAAAGGTGCACGGGTTGAATGAAGAAGGGGCTGGAGGAGACTGCTTTGTTAAACCCACTCACCAAGCTCTTCAGAACTTCAGTGGGAGAGGCCGACATGGCTTTTGATTGTGTGTGTGTGTGTGTGTGTGTGTGTGTGTGTGTGTAAAGACACACTGGCCATTCTTCCATTCCTAGTATCTTCCTCCCAAGTTGATATAAGCAAAAAAGGAAATAAACTGGAACCTAGCCCAGAGTGGCACAGTTATGTGACCAGAGACGAGTAAAAATCAAGTTCTAAGGGTCTTTAGTGGTTCACAATTGGCAAAAGCCAAAAAGTCTTGGCAGCTGTTTGAACTGGGAAAGCTTTTAGGAACATGAGAATCCATTTAAAACAGAGCAGAATTTGTTTGTCTCAGTCACGGGTTCACCCAGGGCAGGTACCGCATCTCCTGCTTCCCATCAGTGAGCAGGCAGTGGTGGTGCCAGCAAAGGGAAATGGCTGTCAAGGCCACAGCCTTTCCTACGTGAAAGTCATGGCTCACTATATATGCTTTAGTCTTCTGGTAAGCGTGTTCGGTGTGAAAACAGGTGCTCTGTCCTCACCTCTGCTGGCTCAACTTTCAGAGTCTTAGTCATACGTGTGAGCTAAAAACTCTAGAGGAAAATTCTCTGGGCTTCCACGGGTTCACACTTCCTGCAGAGGAAGCTAGCTGGAACACCCTTGGCCAGCATTCACAGACCATGGGTGGCTAGGAGTCTGGGGACACAAGGGTACTGGCACCAAGGATGTTCTCAGAGTCCTCAGCCATAGAGACCACAAACCATGGGTGGGGAAGAACATGGACAGACTCTTATCAGGCATTTCCCTACAAATGTTATAAAGCCAGAAAAGCAGCACTGCTCTTCGTGGGATTTCTCACCATTCTGAGGAATATCTATAGTCACCTTTCTCTCTGTGAACAAGCTCCCATTACAGCAGTTTAGACAGACAGACAGACAGACAGACACACACACACACACACACACACACACACACACACACACAAATCTAGCATAAACCCTAGCTATCACATCTGGAAATCCCAAGGCATACTTTAACCTTTGGATTAGGATTCGGGTGGATAGAGAGGCGTGAAATAAAAAACACTTGAATGTGTCTCCTGAGTGCGTGCACCACCCCAAGCCAGCACACCACAGGACGTGAGCATCTTTTAAATTTTCTTACACGTGACCTTTCTTAAAATCCCTCCTAACCTGCATTCAGGCAACAATCCATACCTGAAACGCTGCCCTACTTTCCTTTCCCATTGAAAGGAGATATATTTAGGAACAGTCATGACACGGTTTTGTGTGTGCGTGTGTGTGTGTGTGCGTGTGTGTGTGCGTGTGTGTGTGTGTGTACACCCTGCGGTGTGGCAGCTGAGCTCGAGTGCATGCACAGTAACCCGGGCACACATTCACAGGTGCAGTCAGAGAGGGAGCTCGTCTGAATGAAACCTTCTTGTTGCTTCTCTCGCCCACAAAGATTCCCTTGGCAAATCCAGTGGCGATGCCTCTGAAAACCTGGTTTTCAAAAGCAGCCTCTTTTGTGGGGCAATGCGGCGCTGTGTGTGCTCCCCCTAGGAGAAAAAAAAAAAAATGTCTTTTCCTCTCTGCATGCTTTTAGCACTGCAGGTACTAATTCGTACACGAGGCTGCCTGGCTGTCCCCAGAGGAACTTGAGGCCATGCAGAAAGGTACTTGCAACGCCTACACTGCAGTCCCCATCAGCAGACACATGCCACCCTCCTGGGCACTCAGGAAAGCACACACACAATAAGAGGCCAGGCCCAGCCACTCCTTAGCCCGCTTGGTCCCAGCTCCAGTCCTGACAATGACAAGCGGGGACCTCTCCCAGGTCCTCCGCCCTGGCTCTCCATCTCCAACAACAAGGCGATGGAAAGCCCGGTGGGCCCAGCCCGCCAGACTCCCTGTTTAAAGCCGGTGGCACCACACAAAAGAGGCAGAAGCCAGCAGCCTAGGGGCCGCGGGCACACAACGCCTTCCGGCCGGCCAAACCTGCCAGCTCCAGGCGAGTCGCCTTTCGAGGAACGGCGGGCGGGGCGGCTGCCGCCCAGCAGAGTCCACCCCGGCCAGGGCGTCCAGGGTTGCGGTCATATGGCACCGCGGGGCCAGCCCGCTCCTTCCCCAGCCCAGGCAAAGCACGCACCGTTCGCGGGTGGCCGCTGGGTTGTCTGTGGCTGGCTGCTGGAGCTGTCCTCGCCGGGCTGGGCGCGGCTGGGGCTGCGGAGTACAAGCGTCTAGGCTGCGGCCGCTAGTGCACGGATGCGCCGGAGCTGGTCCTCATTGAAATGCGGTTCTCCGCTTTGCCTCACTCCAACCTCTCTCTCCCGAGGAGGGCGGTGGCGCGCAAGCTTTTCTTGTGTCTCACTCGCTCACACTCCCTCCCTTCTCCCTCCTTCTCCTGCTCCGCCCTCCGCCCTCCTTGGCAGGGCGCGCCCACCGTGGCTGTGTCCAGGGTCCTCCTCTCTCCTCTAGCCAGGCTTCTGGCTTCAGTGATCTCAATGATCTGGCTTGCGTGGACAACTGCCCCCTCCCTGCAGTCAAGCCCCCCCCCCCGCCCAGTCCCTAGAACGACTTTGCCAGCGGATGGGGGGGGCAGATTGGATGGCGGCCAGTGGATTGAGAAAGAACATGGACAGAGAGGGGTCTGAGGCAGGTCATGCGCAGGACAGAGAGGTGGCCCAGAACTGAGGGTGCCTTCATCAAAGAGACCAGAGGAAACCGCCCCCTGCCTCGACACACACACACACACACACACACACACACACACACACACACACACA